AAAAAAAAAAAAAAAAAGACTATTTCCTGAAGAAAGGAAATTCTTTTACATATCAAAGGCAAATTCTTTAATTAGCTAGTTTCTTTCACGTTTTATAACTGATATTAAATTCATTTTTGATTATTTTCAAGTTGGCCTACAAAGTTCCCATAGGTTTGCCAATGTTTATGAAAACGAAAAACTAAAAAAGAAAATTGCAAACAAATGAATCAGACATGCAGAAGATCAAAACTGTAACTGAGAAAGATGAAAATGAAGTAGAGAAAATCGCAAACAAATAAGCCAGTCCAAATATATTTGACAACTAAAAAGGGATACCTGGCTTGATTCTTACACATTATAATCAATGGTATAATTTTCTAGTTGAATAAATAGAGAATTTCTCCCACAAAACAAAAACCACAAAAAAACTGCACTACATAACTTTTCGAGGGGGGGGGGGACACTAATACAGACATTTTGTTATGAGCAAAAATACGAATTTTATCTTCAATAAACAAATGTAAGTAAACAACAAATGAGTAAAGATCCAATTCTACAACTTTTTCTTCAAAGAATAAATGACAAAAAGACATTCCTCGAGTATGCCAACATGAGTATAGTAGAGAGATCAGTCACTTATTGAAACTTTGTATTGTGGGCTATTTCTGCACAGGTGCTAATACAACGGGGAACCCATTTAATGAGGCTTTCCATGTAAGGCCAAAAAATTGTATATGGAGGGGGTCTGAAAAATCCGGATTCTGATCACAATCATGCTAAAAAATTAGCCTCATGGAATCTTGAGGTTGTCCGCACAGTGATGAAAACAAAATATAGGAGATTCACAGCTGACTTCCAAAGAATCTGAATGACAGCATAAGTATCACTTGCTTCGCTTTTTGGCTTCACTATAAAGTACAACTCCAATGACTGTGAGTGAATAACCCATCATTCCAGTGACTGAAACTGGGTTTCTAAATATTAGAATTGAAACTACTACTGCCACAGCCCCTTTAGCATTCCCAAGTACCTGCAAGAGTCAACTCTTGGATTAGTTGTTAAAGCAACTCATTTGAATCACACTCCTTTAACCCTTCACTAATCTAAAAGCATATGGTGAAAAATATATATTTGTTAATCAACTTGGCCATGAAATCTAATAAACTGAATCGATAACACGTGAAATGTCACTAAACAGTGAACACTGATAGCTATTCCAAGTCAACATATTAAAATTTACAGAGAATTTCACTAAAAATTTGGCATCATTAGCATTAGATCCTTATGACCTGTCAATAGCAGTAACTGTATTTGAAAATAAAGCCCCAGCCCTAGTTTTAGAGATCCAGCAGAATATATTCAATAGCAACCAATGAAATCCTTTTACCATGAGGTTTGAATTACTTGTGAAACAAAAACTGGAAACTAAGCTGAAAATTTTGAGAAACTCTATCACTGACGACCTAGGTAAATTTGCTTCCAAAGAATTTTATTCTTAAAGAAACAAAAAAAAAAAAACATAAGGCACCAAGACAAATCACAACACAAAAAAGACAGCACTAAAGTAAAGAACATATGAAAATGAACAAATAAAAAATAAAACGAGAATTTAAATAAACAATGACATGCTGAATACAATATCCAGTGAATTGACAATAAAATCATGTGTACGACAACCATAATATTTTGATATTCCCAACTAAAATGACAGCAGATATGTTCACTTAAGTAAAATATTAAATTTGAAAAGATAGGATGTATGCCTATATGAATAAGTGAGGAATACCTGAAGGGTAAGAGCACTGGTATGTTTGGTGACCAAAAAATTGGTCAGGTTGACAAAATAAGCGAGTGCTGAATTAAATAGCAGATACCAAATGATCTTCACATCATCTCTGGCAAGAGCCAATGTAATGCCAACTACATTTTCTTCCATTATAAGTGTAGCAGGAAGAAGAAAAACAACGGCCATCGGAGCCATGTAAAGAAGAAGGTTCATAGAATTCAGCTTCTCTCTGATACACAACACGAAGGATATGAGTACCTATTTAATATATTATATATACAACCCAACAACAGAAGATAACAAAGTCCAGACAGCTAATTAGCATGTTCCTTATACATACCCTTCAGAAGAAAGCAAAATTCCTTGCAACACGGATTTTAAGGCTCGTGCAGCTGTAGCTGCAACACATACTATGAACCCAAATAAATGGAAGCTTGGTTCACCCTATAAGCAAACATATAAAAGAACAAATACATCAGAAGCCATAGATTATTCTGTTTTTTACCCATCAATATCACTTGAATAATATACAAAAGGAAAAAGATCTGCAGCAGCTTAAGCTGCCTTTCACCATCAGTTGAATTTGATTCGGCAACAACTAAAGCGTATAAATTCATGACAAAAATCCCTAGTTCATTTTAAAAAAATCATCAAACTGGGAACATCAAATAAGTGTACTGAAAACCAAGAATGCCACACAACATGAACCAAACAAGTTTCTATTTGTAACCAGAATGTGTCATTGAATCTCACATAAAAGCAACGGTAGCTCAGCCTCTCAAACCAACCTAAACCAGACATTCCGCTAAATAAAGTAAATATAGGAGAGATTCTCACGTACTATCCGAGTAATACGCCACTTTACTGAAAAGTGAAACCATTTTCACATGGAACTGCATAACCAAACAAACAATGCATTGAGTTGAAACTAAAACACTTCTAGAAGTCACAATATTTAATTATTGCACAAGCAAGTTCAACCAATCAAAAACTCAAACCTAAAATAATAAATTAAATAGTTCATAAGAATTTTTAAACCGTCTGGCAAACATGTATAGTAAACAACTATATTGAAAGCCACATTAGTTTAAAATAAACTCAAAAAAGTACTTATTAACGTAGATTTCACCCTCTCACAATTCATTTTCTGCTCATTTTTTTCCAATCTTTCACTCTCTACCTTTTCTTTCTTTTCTTCATCTCTTTCAGACGCTTATAATTTTTTTACTATAAACAATATTAAAATATATATTTTTTCCATGGACACAATTCCCACAATATTTCAAATCTGACAATCAAAACTAATTAATGTTTATGAGGGAATGACTAACGCCGGTCACATATTATTTTAATATTGATAAGAATTCATTCTGAGAACATCTTAAGACAAGCTTTACACCACTGGGGGAAGAGGTTGGTTATATTAAATTAGAATAAGTTTAACAAGCATGATCGTAAAAGTTTTTACATTTTCTACTAGTCGGAAATTATCTTTGCCAACACTTTTTCTTTTGTAGAATTTTAAATACACTTGTAATTGGATGACAGTGACTTGAACAAGACTTTTTTTTTCTCTTTTATAATTATAATAGTTATTATAATTGAAACACATCTCAGGTCTTAGATGGCTTGTATGTAAGTGTCGGTGGCATAATTGCACTATACGATATTTATAAATAAACGGATGGTTGAAAGACGTCGTTTTTAAGGGATAATAATAATTTGTTTGAATTGAGAAAAAAAAAAGAAAAAGAAAAAAGGAAAAAGAAACCGACAGAGGCATAAAGAAGGGAATTGCGATTGATTAATGATTACCCCGCTGGCAATGACGACGCCGGTGACGACGGGGAGGAGGGCGAGGTAGGTGAGCCAGGCCTCCCTCTTGAAGGTGATGAGGTAAGCGAAGACGGCGGTGAAGAAGGGGGTGGTGGCGCCGACGGCCTGGTTGAAGGAGACGGGGAGGTAGCGGAGAGAGACGTTGCCGAAGACGACGGAGACGCAGAAAACGAGGCTGAGGGCGGCGATCTTGAGGAACTGGAGGCGGGAGCGGAGGGTCTGCATGGGAACCATCTTGAGCCAGGCGATGGCGACGTAGCTGAAGAGGGAGCAGGCTGTCATGTGGCACATGGTGAGGAAAATGGGGTACTTGAAGCCGTAGTTGCTGAGCAGGTACTTGTTCAGCAGCAGCACCCCAATGTTGGAGGAGTACCATGCCGACACTAGTCCCATCGTGAACAAACGCTTCGAACCCTTCATTTTCTCACTCCGATCTCACGCCCCCAACCCTACTCTCCGCCTGCTCCTCCTTCCATCCGACGAATTTCTTCGCTCCTCGCTGCGCTTTCTTTTATTCCCTTTCGCTGGACGGAGAGGAAAAATAATGTAAACGGGGTAGGTGATCGGTTACGGAAACGAAAGATTGGGAATCTCGTTTTTTTTATTGTTTCCTTTTTCACACAGTGGAATATTTAATACTACTATATTTTATGCATAATGTAATTGGAATTAATTCATTATTTTATTTAATCTGTCTCAGTTTATTGGCTTTTATGATTTTTATTTTAAAAATTATAGTTAAAATATTTTTGGATCGATTCATTTTGTGAAAAAAATTATGTTTATATTTATGAAAATTATTTTTAATAAATAATTTTATAATTTTTATAAAATAATATATTGTTGTATAGTTTTATTGTAATAAATAGATATATAGAATGTGTGTTTGGTGAGTATTTAGAAAAGGTTAAAATATTTTTTTAATCTTAATAATTTTATTTATTTTATTTTTTAGTTTTTATAATTTTATCTTTTAAAAAAAATTTAAAGATTTTAGTTTAGTGTGTGAGTTGATTTTTAGTAGTGTTAAGTTAGGAATCTTAAGAGTTGTTAATAGTTTAGTTTATGAAATTAAAAAGAGTCAGAAAATAGACATGTTTCTACTAACTTAAGTGAAGGAGTTGAAGTTAAGTAAGGATAGTGATTTTAGAGTGAGTGTAGATGGAGTGTTGAGACTTAAGAATAGGTTATGTGTGCCTAGTATTCCAAAGTTTAAGAAGATAATATTAGATTTAAGACATAGGAATAACATTAGTATCCATACAGGAGCCACTAAGATGTATCAAGACTTTAAGAGATATTTTGGTGACCTATAAGATGAAGAGAGAGGTAGAGAAATTTGTGTTAGCGTGTCTAATTTGCCAAAAGTCTAAGATAGAACACCATAAATCATTAAAAAAAATTCAATCCTTAGATACACATGTGTGAAAATGGGATAGTATATCCATGGATCTTCTGGTTGAGTTGCCTAAAACCACAATGAATTTGGATTCCAATTGGTGATAATAGATAGGCTTACAAAATCTACTCACTTCTTTCCAGTTAATATTAGACATCCTTTAGATAGGTTGACTAAGTTATATACAAGGGAGATTGAAAGACTTCATGGGATATCTTCTAGCATAGTTTCTGATAGAGATCATAGATTTACCTCCAATTTTTTGGGAGAGTCTACATTAAGGCTTTAGGAACTAAGCTTAAGTTGAGTTCAACCTAAAATCTCTAAATTAATGGCTATCAATCTTTAGAAAATTTACTTAAAGGTTGTGGTTTAGAGCATGAGGGTAGTTGGGATAGTTTTATACCTTAAATTGAGTTAATCTACAATAATAGTTACCATTCCAGTATTGAGATAACACCCTATGAAGCCATTTATGGTTGAAGGTGTAGGACACCTTTTTCTTGGGTAGAACCTATTAAGATTTTCATTTTAAGACCAGAGATAATATGACAAACTATAGAAAAGGTGAGAGTAATTCGCGATAAGATGAGAGTAGCCTAGATTAAGCAAAAGAATTACCATGATAAGAGGATGAAAAATCTTGAGTTTAAAGAGAGAGATCGTATATTCCTTAAGGTTAACCCTTGGACTGGTGTTGGCAAAACACTAAAATCTCATAAGCTTACCAAATCCTTAAGAAGATTGGTGAAGTAGCCTATCAAATAGCCTTACCCCCCATATTTTTCCAACTTGCATTATGTCTTTCATGTCTCTCAACTCCATATGTATGTTCACAACCTTCTCATGTTCTTGAGTTTGACAACATTCAGTTGAAGGATAATCCTACTTAAGAAATAATTTCTTATAAGATTAATGATAAGAGAGTGAAACAACTAAGAGGAAAGGACATCCCTTTAGTCAAGGTTATTTGGGGAGGAAATACAAAGGAAAATGCCACTTGGGAACTAGAAAGCCAAATGCCTTAATCATATCCAAGTCTTTTTACTTCATTTAATATTGGGGATGAAATTTCAAAAAGGGAGGAGAGAGTTGTAACATCCCAAAATTTCTTAATAAATTATTAAAAATATTTTTAATTAACTAATTAGGGTAATATTATATTTTAAGTGATATTTTTAAGATAATAGCAATGATTATTTACTTGTTTATTTTCAAAATAACTAGGAATAATTAATTAAGATTTTTTTTGTCAACAGACTACGTGTGGGTTAGGGTTAGCAATTATTATAAATGCATTAGTAAGGTTAGTATTGCCTCACTTCACAAAAATTAACACGTGCATCTCGTGATCTGAAGATAAGGGAGAACTATAAGCAGTGAGAGAGAACCTCGAAGGCTAAAACCAACAGTTTAGTATCCATAAAGTTAAAGGGGTGAGAACATTACTCTAGGTGTGAGTTATCTACCAAGTTGTGGGATTAACCCTCAATCCTGTTGTTTGTGTTTGATTTGTATGCGTAAAGGATTAAACTCGAATCTTGTTTGAAATTACAATGTGTAATTCTTGTTGTTTGGTTCATATATGTATGCGTAATTGTGTTGTTGATATGTGAGTTACTATGTTTATGAATCTATGAATGCCTATAGGTTTACGGGGGAACTCTGAGGATGTATATAAATATATTATTAAAGAAACAATTTCTTGTGGTGATCCTATTATTAAGAACGAATTAATTATAATATAGATACCTTCTTTTGAACATGAATTCGTGTAAGTGGAGAGACCTAGCATGTGAGTGATTCAAATTATGCAAAAAAAAAAAAGAACTTACTGATACAAAGTCAAGTGTGAAAGAAACAAAGGGACCTTTGTGGTGATCACGTCAGGTGTGGGGAGGTGTACGAGGGCATGAGAACCACAAGATACTCGTGACATCATTGATTCTGAGCATGAACTGGGTTATGTTGGGTGTAGGAGCTCTAGGGACTCCCTAAGCATGGGAATAGTTGTGTCGAGCGTGATCATTCCAAAGGCTTGCGACCTTGATTGCACCGAATTCAGGGCACCTTATGTCGAGCGATGTCTTATACCTGCAACTAAGTTATATATAATAAGTTATATGAATTAATTGATTGAGATGAGTGAGTTATTTGTATAGTGTGAAAAAATGTGATGAGAATGTGAATACTCGATGTATTGGATATGCGAAGTGATCATGTGATAAGACTAAGTATGACTTAGAAGGGATGTGACTTGTGAAATGTGTAATCTTGTGTATATGAATTATGTGACCATGCATATAGTTTGTATGACATCATATGCATAATGTGTTTTTATGATAGGTATAATGTGAAATACATTGTTAGGGATGGTCTCCCTTATGTAAAAACTTAGGGATTTCGTGACCTTGGGGATAGTTAGGTTTGGGAGGTCCAATGCTGCCACTTTGTGTTCATCAGGTGAAACTTAGTCAACATAGCTATCTTGACATGTCACTAGTGTATTTTTTTCTAGTGTATAATGTTATGATGACTTAATTCAGCATGAATTCCTAGGTTACTAAACCTTCAAGCAAGGATAAAGTGTTTTACTAGCATCACATGCATATAGTTTCAGGAGCATCTTGTCTATTGCAAGCATAGGTATTATTTGTGAATGATGGAGTAGATGGATATTTAGATGTGTGAAATAAACCTATTGTATCTTGTAATTAAAAATATGAAATTTAGTATGCCTTTACTATTGTGAATCATATAATGCGATTAATTACAATAATTATTGTTGCTTTAATTGTATATTATTGTTATGTTTGTCTTTAGTTTATCATTGCATTAGGAATTTCGTTTCTTTGAAATTATTTCAGTTTTAGTTAGTGGCCTTTGTAATTGTTTTTAGTTGCTTTTAGTCTTGTTATTTGAAAGGTTGTGATGTGATACATTTTCCTTAGTTTTTTGTTAGTTAATGAAGTATTTTTCAAAACCTATTATTTTATACCATTGAATTTATGTATAAAGGATAAAAAGTTTCACAACAATACTCTCATAGTCTAACATTAAGATGTGGATCCATCTCTAACTATAATAATTATTATTATAATTTTATTGATAAAAATAAATTCATATAGAGCTTTGTTACATGAATATTATAATAAATGAGACTTAAGGCAAGTAAGACAATGAAATATTCTCTCATAACATAATAAATCAAATTTTAAATTTCTTAAAAAAAAAGTATTTACAACTGTCTGACCATGTCTTCAACAAGATAGTTTTTAAGCATTTAATTGTAAGATTTTTAAAAATAAAATTAAAGTTATTATATTTTATTTAATTTCTTAAAATTAATAAGACTTTTCATCTCAAAACAGTCATTTTTTTTTGTTCGTTCCTGGAGTATCCACCGCTGGCAGCAGTGACTAATCTCCTCGCTATGTTGGAGGCACCTCAAAGGGTGGGATAGCTGACCCCAAGATTTAACGCGGCTGCATACACAAGGCAGGATTCGAACTCTGACCTTGCTTAAGCGTGGATCAACCCCTACCGCTGAACCACACGCTTGGGGTTCTCAAAACAGTCATTTAAATCTTAATCCAATTTATTTTAATATTAGTCATTTTTATAGATAAAAATAAATAACTATAAATAATTAGTATTTCATCAACTTCTTCTTTATTGTCACTTTTTAGTCAATTTTTATTTCTATTTATATGTTAATTTTAGAATTCAATATAACACTATTTAATTTGTTATAAATTAAAATATTTTTTTATTTATTAATTTAATTAATTCACACATTTATAATTAATATGCATTTATTATTAAATAGAAATAAAAAGATATAATACAAAATTATTACATTTATTATTTTTTATAACAATATCTTAAAAAGACACTAAGAAAGATGAGGATGAGGTAGGAAGAAAAGAGAGAGTTAATTGTGTATTTGGGCTTTGTAAATGATATTTCCACCGTCTACATGTGGATAATACCGAAAAATAATTTAAGGATGTGTGTAACCTAGTCGATTCTACTAAGACTATTAATTTTTTAGATACTAAGTTTTTACGGAGATTATTTTTTTTAAAATTATTATGTTATTGGTGTAAAATACTTATTAATTTTATCTATAATTAATTTTCACAAAAAAATTTAATTAGTTACTTTTAATAAAAAAAAAATTAATTATATTTTTTC